AACCAACTGAGCCACCCAGGCCACCCCACTTTGTTTTTGCAAACAAACTGCCTCAGTGCTATCTTTCTGGCTTGGCCTGGTGCGGCAACAAAGCCTCAGGAACAGTGGAGAAGAGGCTGCCACTATCCTTGGAGCCTTATTCAATTCTGCACCTACACACATCCAGAAACCCATTCTGTCTATGAAGACTCACATGTGTAGAGTGGGCAGAAGGTTCCTATAATGAACCACAGGTGTGGTAATAATGGCTCCACTCTTGTCCTTTGCCTGACAACACCGCAAACACAGTGCTATGTTGGGGCTGACCGAGCGCTTTGGGAACAAGCCAAGCTGCCAACCTAGTCAGGTGAGTCCTCCTCTTTTATGATCAGAGAATTTTGATTCAACATTTGCTTACACAATATTAAATAATATACAGCTGCTTCAAAGAGCTATATAACAAGAGACTAAATACCTGTACTATTTACAGATGATGTACAATAAAACAGAAGCCATTGAATTTTGGGAGTGCATCTGGATTAAAGTGAATACAAAGCACACTATACATGTGTGATTATTGTTTACTTGATAAACATTTAACAATTACATCACCTGTTGGTCATTAAGGTTCCCATGTACTAAGGAGTCAATGAAAATATGTTGACCGAAGTTTCCTCCTTTTCGTTCTTTTATGATTTTCTTTAAAATAGATTCCAGTTGTCTAAGGGCTAAGAGAAGAAATACAAAAAAGATTTTAGAATATAAGCATTTGTAAAAATTGAACATTTTTTAATATTTCTGTACAATGTTGCTATGTGCAGAATAAAACTTTCCAAAAAAAGAGTTGTAACCAACAATTTTTCAAAGCTAATTTATGTTTAAATTCATCAATTTTATTTTCCTTCTTTTTTGCTAAATTTTACATACAAAAAGCTGCAAATACCATCTATGTACAATTTAAGGAATAATTACAAAGCAAAGACCCATAATATCACCACCCAGGTCAAGAACGGGAACTAACGCCAACACCTTGAAGGCCTCCACACACATAAACGTCTCCCCTGATACTACCTACTCCCCTACTAAAGTCTGTCCTCTTTTTTTTTTTTTTTAAGATTTTATTTATTTATTATGTGAGAGAGAGACAGAGAATGCGAGAGAGCACAAGGAGTGGAGAGGGAGAAGCAGGCTTCCCGCAGAGCAGGGAGGCCGATGTGGGGCTCGATCTCAGGACCCTGATCAAACACTATCCAGGTGTTAAGATTTTCATTTAGATCTTGGGATTCCATGCCCTCTTGGACCCCATACTTTCCCCCACTTTCCTGCCTGCTCATTCTCAGTCTCCTTTCGATGATTCTTCTCATCTCTCCTATTTCTTAATGAGAGAATGCCTAAGGTCAGGAGTCAGTTTTTGGACCTCTTTTTTTTTTTGCTGATGCACTATTCTTTTTTTTATTATTATGTTATGTTAATCACCATACATTACATCCTTAGTTTTTGATGGGATGTTCCATGATTCATTGTTTGCGTATAACACCCAGTGCTCCATTCAATATGTGCCCTCTTTAATACCCATCACCAGGCTAACCCATCCCCCCACCCCGCTCCCATCTAGAACCCTCAGTTTGTTTCTCAGAGTCCATAGTCTCTCATGGTTCTTCTCCCCCTCTGC